ATATATATATTAAGACATAGTACTCATAATAAATTAGGAGGGAAAGATTTAAAATGGTTTAAAAACATTTTTGTAATATTTCAAAACCTTTGATATTTCACCATAGGATGCCAAGCTTTAGCATGTACACATATTTCAAACAAGCGTAACATGGCGTAACATATATTCATGTATAAAAAATAATATAATTATAATACTTTATAACGTATTACAAGAAAATATTCTGTATATGAGTTATGCATGGCTCAGGGTATAGAGCGTTCGGTTTCCAATGAGGTGAACCGGGTTCGAATCCCAGACATGGCTGGCCGATACGAATTCCGCATTCAGCTTGCACTGGCCACAGTGCTGACGTGGAATATCCTCTGTGGTAGACGGATCATGGGATAAAGTCCCCTTGGCGCCAAGGTAACCCTGAAAGGTTCTCGTGGTCTACTTCTCCATGTAACGCGAAAGCGGGTTAGTGCAAATGCGCAAAAAGTACTCCACAAAGGCAAATTTCTCCCAATACTTGATTAGAATTCCCTTGTCTTTTGGATTGGGTTCAAAATTACAAGGTTACGGAGTTGAACATTAGTAGTCGTAAACAAAAAAATATTGGGTCGACTGTAGAATGACGGTTATGAATTTTTTATAATAAGTAAAAATTGCCAAAAATATTTAACCTTATTTCATAAAGAATCAATACAAAACAAAGCATACGAAAGGAACATAAGGAATTTAACAAAAAAGTTATGTTTTAAATGTATTTGAAGGATTTAAAAAAATATTTAAGGAAAAAAATGAGATTGGAATTATATAGTTTTATTTGCGGGAAGAGCAAATAGAAATTTAAAATGTATTTGCTGTAAAAAAAGGTTTTCCATTTTTAGGATATGTATGTAAATAATAAAACTCGGAACTCAAATATGAATATAAATGTTTTTTTCATTTGGAATTTCTAAATATTATTTATAGAAACATGACATTTACATTTTAATGCAGAAACATCTTTAAAAATGAATTTCCTTTGAAAAATAAAATAATAATTTAGTGCATTGACTTGCAGCATAATAAAATTTTATTCAATTTCAATATGCTGATAAGGGAAATATTTATTTCTAAAAAAGTATGTTTCAATAAATTATATTTCGTGTTTTTATGTTTGAGTATTAAGCATAAATATTCTGTTTTATTATTTAAACTTGCCTGTATTTAAAATCTCTTTAGATAATATATAAAATTACCACAACTACATCCTATTAGTGGGTATTTTTTCTTTAAATCTGGATTCAAATTAAAGAAGTTGGCGTTTCTTTGCGAAAATGTTTTTAACAAGCTCTTCAATTATACATTGAAGTGAACATCCAAAATTAGAAATTTAAGACGCTGAATTACTTATAGAATATAAGATGGTTCACTTTTTGTTTTATTTTGAGCTTTTAATTAGAGATTTTGCTTTTGTACGAATGAAAAACAAAAAGGAAAAGATTTCGTCTGTTACTTTTTTACTTTATACACAGAATAAAAAGCTCATATAGATGAAATGCTCGTCAGCTTATTGATCTAAATTATTATTTTAAAAAGCTTATATAAAGGAAGTTTTAAAGTGTTATTTCGATCTAGTCTCCAATTCAATTTTTAGTCTTGACTGAAGAAGGATAACCAAATATTTGCGTATTTTTAGAGGCACCGTTTTACTCTTAATTTCCTTTTTATCTATATAAATAAATCGAAACGTTTAGATGTACGAACGTATGTATATTGTTTATATTATATACAAATCAGTGATTCTTAACTGATCCATTCCAAATTTGATAAACTATAAGTAAAATAGTGAACAAAACTTCCTGATTAACTTTTAATCTAATTGATCGGCTAGGATTCAATCTTATTAATTCGAAGGGATGACCGTAAATATTTTAAATAGCGCAAGCAATGGTTTAACCCCTTAAGGATCAGTTAATTTTCAAGAAAACGGTCATAAAAGTGCCTATTTTGCCGAATACACGTATTTGATTAAGGCAGACATCTAGTTTAAAATAAACTAACTATCGACAATTACTTTAAAAATATCCTGGTACTGCCATCTGGTGTGTAAAATGAGAAATAAAATGCTTTCCGGGCAAAAAAATGAATTAGTTTTATTCTTATTGGTGCGTTATTACTGATCACTCCAGCCCGGAAATTTCACGGGAGCGAGAAATAGAGGGCGAAACCTCTCCCCGTTATTTTTACGGGAGCGGGCTAATAGGGGGTTAAGCTATGAAATCAGACAGGAAAACGTACTTTCTCTGAATAAGCATAGCTTTCTTTCAGACACTCAAAATATAGGGGGTAACCGCAATCTGGGAAATATAGTTCTAATAGTTTGGTCAGGAAAACTGTCAAAAAGTTAGGATTTTCTTAATGTTAATTTAATTATGGAAAATTTCACCATATCTTTTTTTTTGATGCGAGTTTGATGCTTTATTTAGATAATAATAATAATAGACACATGGAGGGCAGAAAATTAATATAAATAAATAATAACAAATAAATAATAAATAAATAATACAAAATAATAATAATAAATGAACAATAATAAATAAATAATAATAAAAAATGATAAATAATAAATATAAAAAATAATAATAAATAAATAATATTAAAAAATAATAAATAATAATTGTAAAAAATAATAATAAATAAATAATAATAAAAAATAATAAATAATAATTATAAAAAATAATAATAAATAAATAAAACTATTAAATATAATTTAGTTTAATTAATTGTATCGGTTTATATGCCTTTAAGTCTTGCTTAAAATTTCATAATATAGATGTCTATTTATTGATTCTTTACTTTTTTTTTAAAAATCGTACGAAAAATGGACAATTAATTAGTAATTAAATAAAATGTTCGAATTAATTCTTAATTTAGTTTCATTTTTCTACTTCTGGCTTTTGAATTTGTCTTTTTATAGGAATTTAAGGATTGTTCAAGTCATTTATAACATAATTCTAAAAGTTGAAATTACCGAGCCATTATTTCTTACTTTTTATGCTCATAAACTAAAGTTTTAGGATAAATGTACTTTTGAGAACTGCTTGATCCAAATGTCTATTTTCCCGTGACTTTAATTGCGTCTCATTCGTATCTTAATTGGTCTGGATATCCGGGGATTTCTGTCTGGAAAACATGATTGAGAAATTCAAAGCGTCTAATTTATCTCATTAATTGCTTTTCTTTATAGATAAAAGCTTTACTTAATGCATTGTTTTGTCATTTTAAATTTAATGCTTTAAAAATATTTACTAACTTAAGTCATTTTTTGTTTTGTTTTATTTTTATAAAATTTCGAATTTTCTTATTGAAACTTAATCTATTAAAACTTTTCTAAATGCAACAAAATTCAGTTTTGTTTAATAGCTTTAGAAACAAATTTACAAATAAGTTATATATGGATAGTTATTGAAATTAAAAGTTTTACAGAATTATGTGTTTCGTATGTTGATTTGGTATGCTATCTATTCTGACGGGTAATTGGATGTTTCAGTTAAAATTGCCAAACCAATTACTTATTAAAATTAAATTATGAAAATAATATTTTAAAAAATGAAGTGATAAACTTAATTTTAAGAAATGCCTTATAAGGGTCCAAAATATTCACAACAAAAAATATAAGGAAAATATTGTTAACCATAATAACATTTTGTGTTAATTTAAAATATCAATAATGCAATTATGTGATTTTATTTAAAAAATAATTAATCAAAATGTCCTTCTTTGCATGCATTAAATAATTTGCGTGTGTGTCTCTATACCTGATTCTGGTTAAATGATAGAAGAATACGAAACTCAACATGAAGTTGAATGAGAAAAATTTACGATGCCCGATTTTCGATTTTTTATCAGGGTTTTAAATTCGGAGACATTTAGGAAATGGAATTTTCTCATTGGCTTAGCGGAAGCCACTGTTTCAAAATAAGCCATAGACGATTCAGTATATCAAATACTTTAAAGACAACACCAGTTGTGTTTGTTAGTTTATAGTTTTAATCAAAAAAGTATTTTATTGCGCGTTTCGCACTACTTAGTTATTTTTTATTCGTCATGCCAGGTAATCAGAAAGATCTACGTGATCGGGCTAGCATAAGCATATTACGTTAAGTGATTATTATTTTCAACGTTATCTGAAACCACGTGTTTATTTTGTTTATAGTTATGCTTTTAAAACGGGGTTTTATAAAACTAAATAATTTAAAATTAACGGTAGTTTAAGTTAAAAAAAATTCGTTTTAAACGGAAAAGCAAAATTAAGAAAAAATAGTACTAATTCGTTGAAGAGAAAGTAATAAAATGCCGATATTATTATTACGTAAAAAATAAGCCAAGTATTAAAAAGGAAATCTAATCGAAAAATGGTACTAATTTGTATAAGAGATCATTAAAAATCGATAAATTAATATTGATGTAAACGATATTTAATAATGATTGGTAATAGGTACGAATTGAAATTAAAAAAAAAAATAAAGCTATATACTAAAAAGTCAAATTGATGGAGAAAAGTAACTTTTTCGTTACGAGATTGAGAAGATTTAAATATCGACTATGTCAACCTTAATCTATCAAAAGGTATCTCAAGATGGATTCAAGTTGACATGTCTTATATACTAGTTATATACTAGCGCCCATTTATACTTAAACGAATTTACCTCCAGGCAAGCGAGCGTATTATTTTGTATGCAGCCAGTGTCTGGTACAGAAATAACACAAGGATGAACGAAAAACTTAAATCAATCCAAAGGATCCCTCTACTTACCATCACCAAGGCGTACTCGAGAGTTAGCTCTGAAGCTGTACAGATACTAGCTGGCATTGTCCCAATTCACCTAAAGATCCTCGAGGACATTATTATCAAAAAGATGAGATGGGGTTGGAGGACGGATGATTTGGTTCATGTTTTTCCAGAGTGCTCCACACAGAATATTAATTTTGATACTCCAGCCCCACTGCACCCATCTAAGTATCGCTCCTTGCTCTGGGGGTATGATTGCACAAAAGATCAGGGTTTGGAGATTGTCACCGACGGCTCTAGGATGGAGACTGGCAACGATAACACCATCAGAACTGCTTTTGCATTCGTTGTCTATTTTAACAGAGTAGAAACACATCAGGTCTCCACTAGGGTCGAAGATAACACTAACATCTTTATTGCTGAACTGGCCATCAAATCGGCGCTGCAATGGCTTCAAAACAACAACATTACGGAGGCAACAATTTATTCAGACTCTCTTTCATCGCTACAGGCCCTGGATGACCCACAGCCCACATCAGACATTATTGAAACGACAAAACTGCTCTGGAAACAAAATATGAAATTAAACTGGGTTAAGGAGCATGTGGGCATCCAGGGTAACGAAGAAGCTGACGAAGCAGCCAAGATGGCCATTGGGTTAGACACGGTGGAACTCCAAGGGCTGAGGACCCCGAAACAGGTTAAGAGTAAACTGAGGGATAGTATCATTATTAGATGGGCTGAGGAGTGGAGGAACTGTCCAAAAGGGAGGCAAATCTATGATCTCATTAAAACACCATCAACTAAAAGGTTACTTACAAACTTTTACCTAAATCAATTCATTACTGGCCACGGAGTGTTCGGAGTGTATCAAAAAAGGTTTTTCAACAAAAGTGGTATCTGTCAATATTGCACGGAAGAACAAACCATTCACCACCTACTTTTTGATTGTGCACGCTTCCGGGCACTCCGAGGGGATATCTTTACTAATAAAACTGAGCATCAGATCTTCTCAAGTAATGACTGCAAAAATATCGTCAAGGAAATCATTAGGGTCACACTAGAAGATCTACTAAAAATTAATCAGGTCTAGTCTCACTGGCCCTCCTCTCCAGATCTTCATTCGTTCCCCCAGTAGAGCCATCGGCCGGCATCCGGGCACGCTTGCTTTTACTTTGTGCGCCTCTTGTGTTTTAACTTCTTGCTAGTCTTAACTTGTATACCTCTCAGGCTTTGACTTGTTGCTGGTTTTAACTTTTAAATTTTTTGAGCGCATGTAACTTTTTTGTATTACCACTGGTTGGTTTTATTTTCATAAGTCCCTATTGATTCATGGTTTTAACTACCTTGATCACTTTGTACCCCTTTTGGCTTGTTATTGCTCTTTTAACATGTCGTTGTTATATATTTTTAACTTTCCCTTTGTGGATGTGTATTGCCAATGTTTTATTTCTGGTGAATGTTTTGGGTGCTTCTTATAGCGGCGAGGCAAGGCCATAATAAGGGTCTGTAGACCTAATATAATGATCTTTTGATTCGGCTGTCTCTTGCTCAAAACACAACTAGGTTTTACTTACCTTATCGCTATGCATTGCTCTTTATCTTTCCTGTGTATTGCAAATTTTGTATTTGATGGCCTGTTGCCATCCATCCACTAGATGTAAATTTTTGTGTATTGTAAATTTTGTATCTGATGGCCCGTTGCCATCTATCCACTTGATGTAAATTTTGTGTTTTTAATGCCTCTTCCGTATGCCCATAGATGGGCTGGTCGGAGACATACAATAAATATACTAGTGATTTATTTAATATTTGTAATGGTAGTTATGCCACAAGATACCGTAAAAATTCGCCATAATATTGCTCATAACAATACTTTTATAATAGATTTCTTACTGCCCCTCGAAGATTTAAATACAGGGGAAAGTATCTTCACTGTGGTAAATTTTCAATATGAGTTGCCTAGAGAAACAACACTATGGCAGATAATGCAGTTAGCCTTTATTTTGCTAAAAATGTTACAAATGTGTTTTGATTAATCTAATCAAGTAAATCCATCGAGAAGGCAATAAATAATTTATAATACTGTATGTAATAAAATAAGGAATTTCTTTAAATGTCCGTCTGGCTGTGAGTAAGCTGAATGAAAGATAACTTATATCTCTAATCAAAAAAACTATTTATTGCTTTTCCTGTTATACTTATTTATATTTTATTTGTTATACAAGGTTATCTGAATGATCAACTTGATCATGGCATAGCAAAAGCAAATTACATCACCAAATTATTATTTCCAAGTTTATCTGAAACCACGAGTTTATTTTGTTTATAATTATGCTTTTAAATGGTCATTTTATAAAACTAAACAATTTAAAATCGACCGTACATGAAATAAAAAAGTTTTGTACTGAAAGGCAAAATTATTGGGTGAACTATAATTCACTGAGGAATAATCATAAAAAACCCAAATATTAGATACTATTGACGCCAAGGATAATTAAGAAATTTGTTATCAAACCTAATCATCCTCAATATTTTAATGAATTTATGTCATATTTCTATAATGCATAACGTTATACAAAGTGCTTAAAAAAGGTCTTGCTACAGGTAATAGTATGTATATTTATAAAAACGCTTAACGCTATGTCGCATACATAAAACAGCAATTAGTACAAACACTACATCTTCGTGTTTCTTTCCATTAAATTCAACTAAATATAATGAGAATGAATGAAATAAATAAATTCTAAATAATATTTTCAAATCATTTCAGAAAATGTTTATTTCTATGACAAATGTCACTAACCTTATCACGTTAAAAAGCATCACTGAGGATTTAAATAAAATAAATCCCCTCTTTCTAAAGTTTTAAAAAAACATGTCATAGAAAACAGAAATATAAAAATTAATATAGCTCAAAAATGAGGGAGATCGTGAAACGAATTCCCTGAACAATTAATAAAAGACAACTTGTTACTACTTTTAATTATTTGGCTTTAATTCATTATGTTAGAATACGCAATCACAAAATATTAGTGTTTAAGAGAAAATACGGTAGATATTAGTACGCTATTTGTTCAATGTCTAATGCATTTTGAAATACAATTTAAAATATTAGTAATATTTCGTAAAATTATGTTTTCATTACCTGTATACATAAATTTCTCTTATGTCGCACCATGAACTCAGGTATTTTACTATGTATTGACAAAAGTACAGTTATTCTTTTGTTAGGTAGTCTTAAGTAATAATTTAATTCTACCTGAAACATAACCTATGCGTTAAGAATTTGCGTAGAATCATTTTATTAGGTTGTTTTAAGTAATAATTTAAGTAGTGTTGAAAAATCAGTTATACGTAAATTATTTATTTAGAATTTTTTTTTTTTTTATAGATTTAAAAAATAAGTTATGAAGTAATTATTTAGATTTATTTTTGAATCTTTCCAAAATGGATAAAGAAATTTTAAACATAAACGGTGCTATCGTGCTGTTATTATTGATGAAGGAGCTTGCTTTTCGAGCAATAGCATATATATTATGCGATACTCAAGTTATGACTCGAGAGGGGCGCGAGGAAGTAGTACAGCGCGTAATTGGCTGAGTTTTTCACCAATTTTGAAATCGGGCGAGTTTACCTTATCTTACTACCGAGATGAAAATAATTTTACTACTTCTACTGCTTATTATCTCGAATTGTTTCGAACTCATTGTTTGGTGATAATCAGCCGAACTGCCGATGAATCTGCCGAACAGATTTTAAATTACTTTTAAAATTCAATACATAAAGAACTTTTAAAATTTTACTAACATCTCTTAAAATTAGTTTAAATTGAAATCAAAATACTTCCGCGTGTGCTAGATGTTGAAAAAAATTAGTTAATATATTGTTTGAAATTTAATTGAGGTGTTTAAAATGGAGGTGTAGAAGAATTAAAATATTAAATACACCTGCTCTGTATTTTCGGCTTGGTCACCATTAAAGTTTATATGTTCCGCAAAATAAAAGAGTTTAGAAAGTGACAGAGCTAGTCGCTAAAGGCGACTAGTATAATTATACCTATGTATGTAGTTACCTAGAATCTGCATGAATATTACCGGAAATTGTTTTAAAGAAGATACATAACGTGAATGAACATTAATTATTTGATCACTTTTATGATAGAAATTGACAACATTTTCAGTAACATACTTAACATCTATTAACTCACCTAACATATGCATCTCAGGCATTAAATATAATCTAATTTTTTGTTGATTAAAGAAATGTTTTCTTCGCCAACACAATTTGAAAAAAATTTTTTTTCTTCCCATTTCTCTTTATTTTAGGAAATTTAATTTGAAGTCTATAACCATGCCGTCTTTTTTACAAATGCTTCTCCAAAATCTTCACATTATTTAACAAAATTATACTAAGTAAGAACACTATTAAGTTAGATATTTATTAAATTATTCTTGCTTGTATTAAATAATTGTATTCTCTGTTGCATTCACAGAGAAAGTAAACCATAATAAAAAAAACTGTGTCTGAAAATTTAATTTAAGGATTATTATTTTCGTATTTGAATATTTTATTTTTAACTCGATAAGCTTATTTTCACAATAAAGGGTTTTTCCTTTACAAAACATATTTCTTATCAGCTATTTAACGGGTCTATTGTAAATTTTGTCACTACAATTTAAACAGTAAAAAATTAGTAGTTTGAATTTGTATACTTTAAAAGACAAGTTTTATTTGTTATCTCGATGCGTTTGTTTGCGTTAATAAATTCAGATTTATAAAATAATAAGAATAGGTAAAAAGTTGTTTTTCTATAAAATATTATTTTTGTGATAAACAGAAATTTATAATCGGATACAAAAAATTTCTAATTCGAGGATTTAATTCTTGGAATATAGCCCAGATGTGAGAATATATTCTTATGTACCATAAACATTATTCCGCTTTCTAATCAATGCTTCTCAATACGCAAGAGGCAATGGCAGTATGCAATGATCAGAATATTCTAAAATCCTGTTAAGGTTATCGTACTGTAGGATGTTTCTGGTAAATAAAATCAAAACATGCGGTATTTGAAGCATTCATTTCTGAATTTTACCGTTCAGTAGGGTAACAGTTTTACATCCGTCGTTGAACAGCTGACCCAATTTTGGATTTACGACTACTAATGTTTAACTGTGTAACCTTGTAATTTTGAACCAATCCAGAACACAAGGAAACTCCTGGATCAGTACCCAAAAAGGTATATGGGAACATGGTGGACTTTGACTCGACAGATTTAACGTGCATACCAGTCACCATTTACTACACGGGGAGTCTTCGGCAGACGAGGATCGAATCCACGAACTCTTGGACACGGGCCCAGTGCCCACCAACCAGGCTATCCCAGCCTTAGGGTAACAGTTTACCGGAAATTTATATTACCACACATTTTGCGAAATTAAATATTACTGAAGAGTAAATTTACCGAATAAATGGAATTTATTCCATGCTCTATTATATCATGATAAAATTACCAAAATGTACCGATTTTACTAAATTTTACTACATATTATGAAACCATATTTTATTGTTAATTTTACCTAAATCATTAAGAAAGCGCTCTAACAAAAATTACAGAGGTCTTTGGTGTTCCCATTGAGCCAGAAACATGGTTAATTTTATCAAATTCTGGTAGTTTTGACCGTACTTTTTTTCTCAATGTGCGAAGTAATTCATCAATGTGACAGCCATATTTTAGTTTCTCTTAACTCATAACTTATATTAACTTCTTCTTGTTAATTATAAAAAATAATGATTTTCGATTAAAAATTTTTTTCAGTCATGACCTTAAACCTCGAAAGTAGAAATTTTGGGCAGAGATATGCGCTTAACATGCAACTGACTCAAAGTGATGAAGCTTTTGATATGGATGATGCCATAAAAAAAATTTCATGCTTACATATCGCATCTTTCTATGTAAAACCTTTGAGTGTTAAACAAATTTGTAAGAGTGTAAGAATATATTTAGTCATAATTAAGAATTGCAATTTCAATTTTGATTATAATCAATTATGATAAGCAATCAAAGTAATTACAAATCTGATCCGACTG